TCGCCAAAAAAATTTCGGTCGGTGTACCATTTTAGGGGTCAAAACATTTTTCCGGACAACCAAAATTTTTCCGAACATAAGACAAATTTTCAAAAAAACACAAAATTTGCCAAAAAATTGACTTAATTTTAGACAAAATTGACAGAATTTGTCCCATTTTTTTTATTGCAAACCAAAATTGCCCGACTGTTGATCGAATATTGCCCGACTGCCCAACAAACTGGGGGGGGGGCTACCGCCGCCCCCCCCGCCCGGTACGCCTATGTCACGCTGCATTGCGGAATTGTGTCTTGTACAAATGCGGATTTTGATTGGACAATTTGAGTTTGAGGTATAATGTAACCATTTAGCCTGGTTGAATTGTAAACAAATCATGAGATTATACTATTTTGTATTTCAGATCGTTCATGGAGGAAAAACCACACATGTCTTTGATGGAATTGATCCTGGGAGAAGCAACTGGTTAAGATACGTAAACTGCGCACGATGTGAGAGTGAACAAAACCTAATAGCTTATCAATATGAAGGACAAATTTATTACCGAGTATATAAAGAAATAGAGGCTGGTACGGAATTATTGGTTTGGTATGGAGACGAATATGGCGAGGAACTGGGCATTCTGATGCTACCGCCGAATCAGGTGAACGTTGATGGAGGTCAGGTGGCGATTGGTGAGAAAGGTGAAAAAGGTACGTACAGCATGGACGGATTTTGTGGGGGGTGCAGGGGGGTGCTGCCTATTATTAACTATAGCCCACAACAAAGATGTCCACCCCTCCAAAAAAATTTTCAACCCCCCCCCCCAATATTCGGCATAATAAAAATAATTAAATAATCCACTCCAACGTGCAGAGTGTTGATGATACAAAATAAACGTAGGAGTACACTCAAATAGAAAGCAATATTATTGGAGCAATTGTAAAGTTTTGAAACTCTATTATCTCCCCTGAATAGAGTTTGCAGTGCCTTGTCGTGCAAATAGCTGGCATGCTTGAAAGGAACGTTTGGAATTTTTATGAACATATTATTTTTAGTTTTTAATTCTTTTAGGAAATAGTCTTGCCTAGATTTAATCTTTACGCCCCAAATATTATTTACATCGGAGTTGCATCATAAATTGTACTCGGATTTAAACGACACAATGTCAATGACTTTATAAAGGTAAAAGCATATTGTGTATTGGCCTATTGGGTTTACACTTTTACGGGTTCATTTAACTTTAACTCTCTCAAGTCTCAACAGACAATCGGACAGGCCAAATCCATTGATATGACAATTTCAAAAAACGTTTTTTCGAAGCTAGAAATCATGATTTTTTCAAATTTTTCCAGGGATACTCTGTTTTCTGCTCTCTAGACTCCACCTCGCGGCTCTAGTGCTCCACCCCTAGAATATAGACCTTACTGGGGTTTGGTGGCACTTTGTGTTGCTTCAGCCACCTGCTCGATCACGGCTCACCCCCCTAAAATTTTTGGCACCACCCCAGTAAAAAATATGAAGATCCGTCTATGACGTACAGTAGAATAGTCTAAATATGTGATAAACAAGTACCCAAATTTCAAATCAAGCGTTAATCTCAACTAATTTCACTTGACTTCACCAGACTTGACTTGACATCAACTTGGACTTGACGTAACCCTAATGTTTTCTACAATAATACGATTTTCCAGGAAGGTACAAGATATTCACAAGAGAACGTTTCTCAAATCACTGCACTCGATGTTGGACATTCGATCCACAAACATAAAATCCTGCAAATATACATAAACCGTTACTACAGTCGTGCAATGATAGTGGCACTATTTAAAAAGAAGATTAGTAGCTTCCTAGGTTTCACTGAGTGGTTTTGATTTTAAAATATTAAACCGAAACTGTTTATGCATTTCTTGCATCCAATCTCCTTTACCGAGATTTCGCGCAAATGTTTGTTTAGCGTAACGCAAATTGTGAGTCTGTTTAGTTCTGCAAGTATTATATAGAAAAGTCTTTACGTAGTGTGGTTAAGAATGTAAGGTTCACTGGAAATATATAAAAGTCATTGAGCTTCACATATATGAAATCAAAATTCTACTATGTCAATAACAAATTGGTACAATAACACGCAGTAGTGTAGTGCAGACCTTAAGTCGTAATAAGCTTGAAGAACATAATATATAATTCATGTATGCCAGCGCCAATATGCACTTAATATGAATGTCGAGCGGGACTCGGAGTTCTGGTCTGGATCTAAATTAAATGTACTGATTTTCGTACAAAATTTGCATTGCCCCAAAGTTCCTCATAGACTCGCTAGCCTCCACCAGATAATCTTGGGGTCTAAAATAGATCAAGGTGTGATATTTACACTAGAAACGGAATGTTCGGTCGGTTCGGAGTTTATCATATATCGCATGCATTTTGGCAATTGACCGTTTATCTCAACGCTTCCTCCAACTTCGTCCCAGGAAAACAAAACCAACTCTGGAACTGTGGAGCAAATATTGAGTGTATATATTATGAAGTATAGTTGAGTAATCCAGAGTAGAAGATCAAAATCATTGCCACAAATATACAGGGTGTATAAAAAGAAAGCCAAGCCAACTTTTACAGAATATCGTGTAAAATTATTACGTTTATAGGTTTTCTGTTTTCGTATGTACAAAGATCAGGCTTTTAGCATTCAAATCATACCTTTAAGGAATGAGATTATCTAAAGTGCGAGCTGCGTGTTGCAAGTTGCCAGTTGCAAGTTGCGAGTTACGAGTATATTAATATTGTTAATTTCTAATAATATCGGGTTAATACTAACGTAGCTTTGAAGCACCGAACCAGGTATTTACACCTATGGTTTACACTAAAAAATCAAATTGAAAACTGTATGTCATCCTGGCGGATGGGATTTTAGCTTTGTCTCAATTTAGCGCCAATTTTCAGCTTTTGAACTTTCATTGCATTTGGTTTTATAATTACAAACTTATAAATAGCAATCGTTTTGATGTACTGATGGTTTTTCCCGTGTTAAAATAAATTAATGCATGTATATGTATATGTATGTATGTATAAATTGAATTATTTTAACTTCAGTTGTATTTCCGATGAAAAGGACTTGAGTTTAGGGTTCTGAGCGTTCAGTATAATTATATAAACAAACTGAGTCGGTATCTGGTTATACTTACTAATAAAATTAAATAATTATTTTAAGATTAGAAAGCACAAAATGGTCTGGATAACTACTAGATTTAATTAAACACAGAAACAGCAAATATAAACTTACACTTTTATTTTCAATATAATTATTTTAATTCTTGAACATACGTATACCGATGGATCTAACCGAAAGTAAACAAACAAGTAAAGACCGATTTTCATCTCCACCGTATCGTAGCATTTTCTTTTGTGTCGAAGTCATTAGTTCCAGTCTAGTGGTCAGGAAACAAACTGAATACGCTACGCTTTGCTACGATACGGTTGAAGTGGAAAACCAGCTTAAACTGTTAAAGTGCACGGAAAACGTGTTTAAACGAATTTAGTTACAGGGAACTTATTCTTCGAAGGGTGATTTCGACCGGTATTTTTAATCGGATCGTACATGGCTATTTTGGATCGCAGTGATACAAGAAAGGTATCATTCGACAGCTAAAAGCCTGGTCTTTATTTATATGAAAAAAGTAAATGGATAAACGTGATAATGCTCGATAACATGCCAAAGTTGGATCACCTTTCTTTACACACCCTGTATAGGTTTGTGTTTTCCACAAAACACAAACCATCATGCTAATCTTTATCAAAAGCTTACTACTGCATTTGTCTTTTCTCTGTAGAAGGCGGTCACACCTGTAAACATTGTGGACGAATGTATACATATGTGAATTATCTGGAAGCTCACTTGAAAAGATGTCCAATGTTGGTATCTTACGAATCCTGGGAGTGTTGTCGTTGCGGGAGAAAATACAGCAATAACGATTACCTTGGTGTGCACCAAAAGGATTGCGGGAATGCTGATAGTCCAAAACGTCGCACGAACATCAGCGTAAAAGTGAAAGAATGTCAACATTGTGGTAAGATATTTACGACACATGTGGATTTGAGAAGACACGAACGAATACATACAGGAGAACGTCCATATCAATGTCAACACTGTGGTAAGACATTTACTTTGCAACATCACTTGAAGAGACACAAAAGAACACACAGTGGGGAAAGACCTTATCAATGTCAACATTGTGGTAAGATATTTACAGAGCAAGGTAACTTGAAGAGACACAAAAGAACACACAGTGGGGAAAGAGCTTATCAATGTCAACATTGTGGTAAGACATTTACACAGCAAGGTAACTTGAAGAGACACAAAAGAACACACAGTGGGGAAAGACCTTATCAATGTCAACATTGTGGTAAGGCATTTACACAGCAAAGTAGCTTGAAGACACACAAAAGAACACACAGTGGGGAAAGACCTTATCAATGTCAACATTGTGGTAAGACATTTACACAGCAAGGTCACTTGAAGAGACACAAAAGAACACACAGTGGGGAAAGACCTTATCAAGGCCAACATTGTGAGAAGATATTTAAACGTCAAGGTAGCAGTAAAAGGAGAAAGTTATGTTATTAGTTCAACTTTTGAGCAATGTGTTATTGTCCAAATTGCAAATAGTAATAAACTTTACTGCTTATGGCACTATTGTCCCAATGGCCTCGTTTTCACGTGTGTCTTGTTTAGCATGACAGGCGCACATGAAGGTTATATATCCACGATTCATGCACGAATTTGCGGCGAATATGTTTCTCTTTGATCTTGAGGCCGATACAAGCCTATCCTTAACCCTATTGTGCACGAAACAAGGAACTGACCATATGAAAACGAATTGGGACGATAGTGCAATAATCAGCACAGTTCTATTGTAGCCTGCGTCTCAGGCTGTATGCTTGAAACAGAACCTGCTACTGAAGTCGATATAAAGTGAACAATATAGTGATTTGGATTCACGAAAATAACAACCAATCAAAACGGCGATTGTTATTTAGATTATCAAAGTTAATTTAAGATATGACAATAACGGCCAATGTTTCCGCGAATATCTCCATATTCAATCATATCCGATATTCCAATTTTCATGAAAAGGCCAGGAATTACATATTAAATAATAATAACGGTTATTGATCGTGTTTATAGACAGCAAAGGCAGTAATGCGGCCAAAAGTACAAGAACGGAATATAACAACTTGATATTACCTTAAAAGGCAAGGCTATTTATTCCTGACCAATGGGAATTTTGCGTTCTTTTTATTGACTTCTTTTGCAGGCTCTATTTCAAGCATAGAGCATGACACGCAGCATAAGTTTATTGGTGCATTCACTTTCGACAACTAATTAACAAAATCAATAGACAACGTACTTGCATAATTATATTAGACTAATTTTTGGTCCAGGCATAAAAAAGTAAATTCCCGGTTTCCCGACCCTACCTAGCTTTTGGAGGCCAAAATCCCTACCCTAAACTTTTTTATTGGATCATTTTTGAGCGAAAATGGTAACAACTTCCGCACGTAATACAAACAAATGTTTTCCAAGCTTTACAACATTTCGATCGGAACCAAATTTTGCACTTTTACTAATTCATTATGTTCTTTTTAGCTGTGGTGTTCGATTACCTTGTGTTTACTTAGATTAAAATTTAGTCTAACGTGCAAGTTGTACATTACTTTCAATGCATTTCAATAACTTTACACGCATTTCGCAGCTCATGCAGGAATGAACTTTTGCAATCTCGTTTCTATTTTTTTCGGCTTCGTTGAGATCCATGAATGTCACGACAGACTCTGTATGGGCCTATGAATTACACATTCTAAAAACAACACTACTTGGGTTAATTTAAAATCCTGGTTAAATTTTCTGATTATTTTATCTCACCTCCTATAAAACGTGGTTAAAATTTATCATTTATAGACCCGGAGAGAGGGGAACATTTGGCGAAATATTACCGGGATGTGATGATATTTCCTGAGGGACTTAATTTGGCCCGATCGAAATGTTACCACTGAGGGTAATATTTCGACGAATCCCCCGAGCGGAGGGTCTACAAATGATATATTATACCGAAAGTTAAAGAACCAGTAAGTTCAGAATAAACTTTAAAACTCGCCAAATATTAACTAAGCGAATACAATTTTTAATTTCTCATTTATACCAGAGTTTTTTACGTTATTTTCTCTTTAAAATATTTGAGCATGTATCATTTAGATCATTCAAGGTAACATACGTCTTAAAAATATTTGGTTCAATCAATAAATCTTCTGTACAAAATTACAAACAACACTCGCGAACACCATATTATTTCGGAGCGTGCATGGTATCCACGAGTCACGCGTGAGATATTATTATATCCCACGGTAGACCTACCGTGGGATATTATATCTCACGCTGTATTGCGAAATCATGGATTTGAGTGAAATACCGTAAAAAATCCCATTGTCTCTGGTACAAATGGTGTTTTTTGATAGGACAATTTGAATTTGAGGTATAATATTACCTGGAATCTCGTTATATTTTACCAGGATGCCCTTGTTAGGTGGATATTATAACCAGGGATCCGTGGTTATTTATCCACTTTACATAGTCTGGTTAACTTATCCTGCAAGTCCTGGATCAACTTAGGTTGACTACCATGGCCGGAAAAAGGGTAACATAACCAGGAAAAAATTAAGTTAATCGAAATACGGTTATTTCAAGGTTGACCTGAAAAGTTTTAGTTAACCAGAGTGTATATTAACTATGGAGTTTACTATTACTTTTACTGCTAACTCTATAAAAGTCTTTTCAAATGTTATTTCGTCAAGAGAACGAGACTATAAAAACAACAATGAGTTTTAATTTCTTGACGTAATTAGTACTAGTTAAAATTTTTAAAAAATTTCAAAATAATATTTCAAAAGCTTTCAACTATCTCAACAAAGGTACGAGTGAAAAAAAAAGCTTAACTGGATTGGAACCCTATATATAAGTATGGTAATTTATGCAAATATAATTCGACATAAATAACCCCCTGTTTAGAATTAAAAGGGATTGTTAAATGCGACCAAAATCATTTTTTAAGTTAGTGTAAATAGTGTAATAGGCTGAAATATTTGGTTTTCGGAAAAAACAAAGCACCAGTCAACAAATAATAATAATTGTAATATAAATAGTTATCGCAATGTTGTCAACCGCAAAATCTATTGAGTCTGTCAAGATATGATGATCTTGAAGCCCGGTAAACTTCAAAGCTACGAAATAGAAGGCATTTGTTTCATGTTGAACTGTACCTCGCCGTGCACGAATCCTTTGTCTCAACTTCATTAAATATTATAATCGTGTCTGCAAGTTTCATCTCAGCTATCCCCTTTTGGACTATTGCTTCATTATGCGAAAATACAATGAATTAAATTATCAATCACCGTGACCGTGCACAAATTAACATAAATTCAGACAAAAACATGACACAATGACTTCTGTTTAGTTCCCAGACCATCATATCTTGACAGATTGTGCAAAATCTATAAGAATGTGATTTTCTTACTTCCCGAAATTGCTGTATGGTTGCAAAACAAAGTCAGTCGAAGTCGTCCAATAGCTCTTCAGTTTTCGCCATCTTGTCCTTCACGTTTTGTTCTCGCTCCAGATATATATATATATATATATATATATATATATATATATATATATATATATATATATATATATATATATATATATATATATATATATATATATATATATATATATATATATATAATTTCATAAAGTAATTTCCCGTTTTTAAGAATAAAGAGTGCTCAATACAAGGCAATTGTAGAGCATATAATAATAATTTAATATTTTAATACAATTTTTCAATTGAATAAGTTGCTACTTTAAGTTTCATGCAACAAGCAATCATCAGGCAACATATTAATACGGTTAAGTTGTTGCGTTTTACTACTCGCAATGTTTGCTGACGCGTGTTCGTTTGAATCGTCCCGCGTGGAATCTGCGCGCATGCACGCATTTCATGAAAATTTTGCTACGTTTATTTAAATTAGACCGTGAATTATAACTACGGAGTATTTGCAATTTCTCTTCTAAACATAAATTGCAACTATTTCCACCGGCTTTGATTGAACTTGCTCGGGATAAGATGGACCTCTTGATATTAAATTGTTTTCTATTTAGTTTTAGTTTCCAAACATGTTTAGAAAGTTCAGTTTCATTCTCGTATTTAATGTCATTGAATGATTTCTTGTGATTTCTGTATCTCTCCTTAAATGTTGTCGCTGTCATACCAATGTAGGTTTTTATATCGTTGTTGTCTTTCGTTTTTACTTCGGCTTGATAAACTAAATCTTTCGTCAAGCACATGTTGTTAAGCGGGCACTCGTTTACATTTCTGTAGTTACAAAGTTTTTCGATGTTGTTATCGTTGGTAGATTCTTCGGATTTAGTTTCTCTCAATACGCGTTTGTTATGTCTCGATATGACGCTCTTTACATTATTCATACAGCTATAGCTAACTTTGATCGTGTTTCGGTTGAAGATCTTATGAAGGGGTGATGTTTTGGGAAAATGTTTGTCGATTAATTTCAAGAAATCTCGGGCGACATTGGTTCGTACGTTTTTACTATACGGCGGGTTGAACCAGATAATTCTTCTTGTGCGTTTATGTTTCTCGTTTTGCGATCGACTTTCGGTTGTAGACGTTTTTTCAGCAGCTGAGTATTGAAGTTTGGTGTTGTAATTACTCTGCTTCAGGGCGTAGTCATAAGTGGAAGCAACAGAATCAAAGGTTTTTTTGTCGGATGATAATGACGCGATTCTGCGGTTGATTGCTGCTGGGAGTTGTTTGGTGATTGATGGTGGATGGTTGGATTCTTTGTGAATGTACAGTGGGTCGTTATTTGGTTTTCTGTAGGGCTTGTATGACTCATTAGTAAGATTAAGCGTAACATCGAGGAAGTTAACAGTTTTGTAGTTTACCTCGGCAGTGATCTTCAGTCCCAATTCCTGGAATGCAGAACACAGGTCTTTTCTTGCTTTATCTGCTAGTCGTGGACTGGTACCTTTGATCAGGGTTAATCCGTCATCTCTGTACAATCCGATGTTATTGCTGTCAAATCTCGCGCTTAGTTTGTTTAATGCATACAAACCAACAAGTTCGCAAATTTCCGCACCGTCAAAGCTCCCCATGGTGACGTCAAATGTTGTAGGACTGTTTCGTTTTATCCATGGTTTGGTGGAATTGAATAAAACGGATCTGCGGGCGTGTTTGATGATTGAAACATGTTCGTCAGTAATATTAACAATAGTTTTGGCCCAAGCGATGGCTTTATCGAGGAGTTCTTCACTGATGGAAGGGTAGTAGTCGACGATATCAAAAGAAACAAAGTTATACTGAGATTTGTGTTCGATGTCTTTGAACCAGTTGATTACAGATTGCGAATTTCTCCATTGGTTTGCGTTGGTGGTTGATCTGATTTCTTGATTGATGGAATCCAGTATAACTTTGCTTACTTTACCAAGTTCGCTTTTGGCTGGGTTGATTAATCGGCATTTGGGGTTCGATTCGAAGTTGTCCTTATGGTCTTTCAGCGTAATGAAAGCTTCAGTTTCGGCCATTACGTAACGAAATCTTATAAACTAGCACATGACCGGATAACCGACGATATTAACCAGGAACTGTGCGAAATTTCTTCCAACTTGAATATTGGTAACCGAGTCCACGTAATGGCCGAAACTGAAGCTTTCATTACGCTGAAAGACCATAAGGACAACTTCGAATCGAACCCCAAATGCCGATTAATCAACCCAGCCAAAAGCGAACTTGGTAAAGTCAGTAAAGTTATACTGGATTCCATCAATCAAGAAATCAGATCAACCACCAACGCAAACCAATGGAGAAATTCCCAATCTGTAATCAACTGGTTCAAAGACATCGAACACAAATCTCAGTATAACTTTGTTTCTTTTGATATCGTCGACTACTACCCTTCCATCAGTGAAGAACTCCTCGATAAAGCCATCGCTTGGGCCAAAACTATTGTTAATATTACTGACGAACATGTTTCAATCATCCAACACGCCCGCAGATCCGTTTTATTCAATTCCACCAAACCATGGATAAAACGAAACAGTCCTACAACATTTGACGTCACCATGGGCAGCTTTGACGGTGCGGAAATTTGCGAACTTGTTGGTTTGTATGCATTAAACAAACTAAGCGCGAGATTTGACAGCAATAACATCGGATTGTACAGAGATGACGGATTAGCCTTGATCAAAGGTACCAGTCCACGACTAGCAGATAAAGCAAGAAAAGACCTGTGTTATGCATTTCAGGAATT